GGTGCTGGTGGGGACTTGGTGGGAAAGGAGGAGGCAAAGGGCTGTTCATGGAGAGAGCCTAAGAGAAGAGGGAGATTGGTTCATCATGATCAGCTGGGCCAACTGTGCTGCTAGAATGGAATGAAAGTCTCCCAATCTATTTGTAGGAATGAATTTAGCTACCATATCAGTGCTCATCTCTGGCCCTTTCTTGTTCTGCTCTTCAAGGCCCACTTCACCTCACCTCTTCTTTCCAAGGCTGTATTGGCTTAATTTTTACTTTTCTATGCTCTTTCATATGCCAGGAGTCTATCAATCACTGTACTTACCAGTTGCTTTACAATTACCTGTTAATCTTCATTTCTTCATGAATCTGCAGCCTGGAGATATAGGCTCAGTCTCCTTCATTCAGTAGCTCCGTGGCCTGGTTCAGTCCCTGGCAGATGTTAATGCCTAGTATGTCTTGGGTAAATTGACTGTCTATTGTGACATCCAGGTATCCTCAGTGTCACAAAAACAGTGAAGAGATCTGAAAGGCCTGATGATTATCATCCAAGGGAAGGTAGAAGGGTGATACTGGATGAAGAGTGGAGGATAGAAAAGCATTTTTCTAAAAAACATTGAATAGCTGAATGTAATTTCTAGTCAGTCAACATTTTCCTTCTATAAATATGTGCAAAGTGCAGAGGAGACACAGAAGCAATTAGGTAGGAGACAAATTTCTGCTCCTTATACCTGTGTACATAATCTGGTTAGAAGTGGATTGGGAGCTGCATGGTTATATGCTAACTTACCACATGAAAGTATATAGACATGCTCTGGACTCTTTCCCCATTCTTACCTCAAATGGTTCCCCACTCAGAAGATTCTTACAGCGAAATCATTGAAAACTTTGCCCAACCATTTCTCTAGAAATGGTCAGGGTTCTCCAGAAAAGCAGAACCAGTAATATTTATTATGTGGAATTGGCTTATGCCATTATGGAAACCTAGAATTCTATTATATTTTCTATAAGATTCCAAGAGAGCTGGTTGTATGATTTAATGAGTCTGAAGTTCTGAAAACTAGAGGCCTGATGGAAAAGATGAAGTCAACTGTCCCCACCCAAGCAGTGAGGCAGGAAAAGAAGGGTCAAGTCTGCTTTTCTCTGTCCTTTGTCATATTCAGGCTCTCAAAGACTTGGATGATGCCCATCCACACTGAGTAGAAAAATCTACTTTAGTAGATTCAAATGCTAATTACAACCTGAAACACCCTTCCAGATACACTAGAAATATTTAGTCTGGGCACCCCTTTGCAATTTATACATAAAAATAACCATCACAATTGAGAAAATGAATAAAATTGAGAGTGGAAAGCTCTTTAACACATTCTATGAAGCCAACATTCCTGATTCCAAAATCAAGGAGCACACACAAAATGATAGATCAATATTCCTGATCAACATAGATGTAAAATTCCTTAACAAAATGTTAGCAAACAAAGAGATTTATCTAACACAATTAAGTAGGATTCACCCTGGGGGGGGTGGAGGGGGTAAGACTGATTCAGTGCATGCGAATCAGTTATGTCCATCACCAGACCGACAAAAAGGAAGATAAAAATCACACGGTCATTTCAATATAGATATTAAAAGCATGAGGCAAGATTCAACACCCACTTATGATAAAAATTTTCAATAAAATGGAAATGGAACTTATCTAAAAATAATAAAATCCACATATGACAAACCTAAAACTGACATCATACTCAATGGTGAAACAATGAAAACATTTCCCTTATGATCAGAAATAAGACAAGGATATCCACTTTCACCACTATTTCTCAACATATTATTGGAAGCCAAAGCTAATTAGGCAAAAGACATAAAAGGAATACAAATTGGGAAGGGAGTGAAACTATCATATTTGCAGATGACATAAATGGAAAACCCATTCTACCATAAACTACTAGAAATAATAAATGAATACAATAAAATTGCAGGATACAAAATATACAAAAAGTGGCATTTGTTTATACAAAAAATGATTACAATCGAAAAAAATTAGTTTACAATTATACCATGAAGAAAGAAGTACCTGTCATAAACTTCATGAAGGAGGTGAAAACTTGTAGGACTCTATTAAAGGAGGTAAAGGAAGACACAAAGAAAAGGAAAGCTACCCTATGTCCATGGATTAGATGACTTAATGGTTGTTAAAATGGACATTATAACCTAAAGAAAATTACAGATTTAAGGCAATACCTATCAAAATACCAGTGACTTTTATTAAGGAAACAGAACAACTATACAATTTATAGGAAACCACAAAAAGTTCCCAAATAGCCAAAGCAATACTGAGAGAAAAGAAAAATGGACGTATCACATGCTGTGACTTCAAACTATACTATACAGCAATAGTATTCAAAATAGTATGATGCTAGAACAAAAACAGAAACACAGGACAATAGAATAGAAAGCTCAGTGGTCAACTCACATAACCATGTATAGTTGATCTTTGACAAAGGAGCCATGACCATAAAATGGAGAAGGGAAAGCCTCTTTAACAAATCATGATGAGAAACATGTAGCCACAGGCAAAACCCCCCAAAAAACAAACAAAAAAACCCAAATAAAATCTATCTATCTGTACACAAAAAATAAATTCAAAATGACTTGGTTTGGATATAGGAGGCTGAAAGCATAAAATACTTAAAACATAGGGGATATACTACCACAAAGATGTATTTGGGGACAAAAATAAATGGGACTACATCATACTTAAAAAGTTTTTGTACCTCAAGAGGACCCATCACAAAAAAACAAAAGGCAGTCTATGGACTGGAGAACACACTCTCACTCTCTCACTATCCACAGCTGCTAAGTCATGGAAACCACCTCAGTGCCAGAAAGTCAACAACTGGATAAAAAAATGTTGACTACATGCTGAATGGAGTATTACTCAGCTATTAAGAAAGATGAAATTGTACTTTTTGGGATAAAATAGATGGACATCGAGGTGATTATGCTAAATGAAATGTCAGTGAAAGCCAGCTATCTGATGGTTGCACTTATTTATGATGTAATCATATATATATAATAATATATATAACATATATGTATGTATATATATATATATATATATATATATATATATATATATATATGGAAAGAAAAAGCAATTCATACACTTAGTAACTGAAAAATATACCAGTTACCAGTGAGAACAAGGAGGGGAGGGGACGGAAGAAAGAGTAGGGGAAGGAAGGAGATGAGGTACTAGCCCAGGTTTGGTGGGGGGTAGTGAAGCATGTGCACATAAGGAGGAATAAAAATGGAAACCCAAAGTTATACAGACATGTAAATGACTGACAACATAATAAAATAAAGTCAATTAGATAATTTATAAGTAGTATGGACAATTGAGTTACCAACCTTTTAGAAATTGTGGTGATATATACATAATTTTCTGATCATTCTTCTGCCCCAGAATGCTCAATAAGTCTAAGTCATCGAGTACATACTTTTTTGATGCTTTTTCTTAAAAAATGCTCGATTGTTTAGACATTTCCATTAGTAGACATTACCAGAGGACAATTTCATAGCTTTGTAAGGACTCCCTCAGTGTAGCTTAAAGAACAGCAATATGAACTGCTCAGTATTTAGGTCACAGTCCCATACTGATAAAGATTTAAAATGTATCTACTCTGGGCCCTCCCTGGTGGCTCAGCGGGTTAAAGCACTGCACTGAGAATCTAAAGCCGCTTCCGCATGAGTTCAATTCCCGCCTGCCCCGGAGGTGACCACATGGTGTGGCAGACCTCTCCTGACCCGCCCGCTGCTCCCCTCAGCAGTGCACTTCGTCAATCTGCCTGTTCTGTTTCCCACTCTGTCTCTGGTGAAGCCTCTCACTGCTCCTGAGCCTCTGGCCTGTACCCCAGTTCTGTATGCACAAATAAATAAATCTTTAAAAAAAAAAATGTATCTACTCATCAGACACCAGAAGATTTTTTTCATGAGGTCCTAGAGCAAATTCAGAGACAGGAAGCAGAACGGGTGGTAGTGCGGGCTAAGGCTGAAGTGCCGATTCAATGTAGGAAGACAAACATTTCAGACAGGTGGTGGTGGTGATTGCCTAACAATGTGAATGTCCTTAGCGCATGAACATCCCTACTGTATGCTTAAAAAGTTATGCTAAGTTTCATGTTATGTGTAATTTATCCTAGAAAAAAAAATCTCAAAAATCATTATCTCCCATGAAAATCAAGACCCTAAGTCATCTGAAGTGGCCATTCAAAGAAAGCGTAGGGCTCCCTTTCTTTCATGTCCTCCAGAAATACCAGATTTCACATTTGATCTTTCTGTTTGAGAGGACTTTGGTTCAAGGACTGAAATGGCTCTTGAGTCCTCCGGGTCCCTCTTGGCTTTGCTGGCTAAAGCAGTGGTGGCTGAGATGCCCACTCACCCCCCCCCCCCCACTACTAAGGAAGCTAGTGATTGGGGATGGTGCTGGAGGTCCCTGTGACACGTTTAATACTTCAAAATACCTAAAGAAAGATCATATACAGCACTGACAGTTAAAACTACTCTGTGAACTATCTTGTCATCAAGTTGTCATTGTTCTGTCATCAAGCTGTGGCACCAAGGACATCTCGTGCTGACAGGAAGACGTGGACACCATGGTGGGTGTTTAGTAAAAAGAAAGTTAAGAGAATCAGGATTTCCCAGAGATAAGTTTGCTAACTCAAAGTGAAAGGCCTTGTTTGTATTATTGGGTTAACCTGGTCCTTATTTGTTACCTCCCAGTTTTTGAAAACCAAATCAATAGGATACACCTTCCCTGCCCGGGGCTGAGTGGCAGCAAGGGTCCAGTGGCACGGGTGCTGATGTGGAAGGGGTGAGTAAATGTGAGATCAGGTAAAGCACCTGTGGGAGCTTAAAGATTCTGAAATCTGAGTCAGGAAACCTTTACAGCAATTGTTAGCAGTTATACCAGCTACCATTCCCAACCCCTTCTCCTGAAAAGAAAAGGCAATTTTATGATCACAAATAGGGATTTTTTTTATTGACAACTCAAGTCTTTACACACATACAGTATTGCACAAATTATAAGTGGATTGACAATTAAGTTAATGATACAAAGTCAGGAGCATTTATGTAAAGCAACTGCTTCAGGCTGTGGTGCATTCTGTGCCAGGTACTTAAGTAAATATGTCAAAGGAATTCAAGTTACTTCAATTCATGAGAATCAGCTTCCAAAACAGCATGTATGCCATCTCACAGAATAGTTAAATCCAGGAAAATCAGTAACTAAATGACAAAATGAATATCATTAAAGAAAAGTTGGTGATAAAAAATGTCAAGTTAAAATATTAGGATTAAAAATTTTAGTGATTATATTTAGAAAGTGTGCAAACATTGGAATTTTTAAGAAAAGACCCCCATGTTCTGTTTTACCATTACTACTATATTCCAAACGAGTAATTCTGGGTTCTTCTCTAATTCCTCCCTGCTAGTAGAAACTACTCTTTCATAGTTTTAAAGAAACAAGACAGTAGTTTGCATAAATGGGTTTTAAAGTAAGATTCTCACTGAAAATAAACAAAACTAAATATGATCTCCCTTAATTTACAAAGAAACCTTACTAAAAAGCAGGCTGGACGAGGAAGTGAGACCACCGGTTTACTGCCCCTGACTGCCTCTGAGCTCACCTGTCACCCACAAGGAAGGGAGATGTGCAGCTCTGAGCTCTGCCCCTCCCCAAGCCTGCAAGGTGAGGGTGGACAAAAACCCTTCAGCTTTCCTGAGGTATTGGCTCCCCAGATATAAAACTGAAGGGTGGACAGATGGCTTTAATAGCCCTTCCCATAATAAGAACCCAAGTCAGTTTAAGATCCTATCTCTGAGTGGAATTGCAGGATGGCAAAAGAAATGGATTAAGTAACAGGTGGGTGAAATATTTACCTCTGATCCCTTCACTCAGCTCTGTGACACACCACATTTCCAAGATAGTATCCTAAACTTTCATCTAATGGCGGTACTCCTAAAGGCTGAGCAAATGAAGCGTCTGACAATGAAATTCTGGATTAAAAACCATAGAAAGCCCATGCTACGTTTGGGTAAAAAGACAATGTGCCATCTTGTCGCACCAGTCTTCTAGCAAGATGCACATTCAAGCCATTCAGAGCCAGTAAGTACATACCTAGTAAGAATCAAATAATTTCCTAAAATTCTTCCAGGAAAGCAACATTCACTAAACTGGCACTGACAGGAAGAATATCAGAGAGTTAAGTAAAGGGCAGAATACGAAAAATGACCCCCAAAGAGCAATGGTGTCTGTTTCTGTCCTCCAAAACAATTAAAAAAAAAAATCACTTTTTCTGGAATCTAACACACTGGCTTCATTTTCAAAATGCATCACTTTATTTTCCTTAAAAGGCAGCCATACATTATAAACTTTACGCATGTGACAGCCACATGAATTCTTCATTAAGTCCCAGGGCTTCCACCTTCCTGGGACTTACAGTAGAGCAGTCAGGGAGTCAAATGTTAAAGCTTTCTCCACAGCCACATGTTCCTTTGATGTTTGGGTTATTGAACACAAACTCACTGGATAATTTGTCTTCAACATAGTCCATTTCTGTTCCTAAAAGTGTTAGCTGTGCTTTCTTTTCGATGAACACTCTGACTCCTTGGGGAGAAGAAAACATGCCTTATAAAGTCTGCAAGCCCGACAGAACCTGCTGATCAAAGCACACGTAAACTTTAAATAGCAACTCCTAACAAGTCAGACAGGAAGCTTCTCAATCCGTCTCATTATTTCCTGGAAGGCCTTTAGTGCTCAGTTTCCTGTCTGTCCCTTTTCCCACACAATTTTGCCAAAAACAATTACTTTAGGTTGGATGGTTGTATACCAGCAAATTTCAAAGCAATTCTATGTAAAACTAGAATTTGCTTTTCACTATACTCTGTTTTCCAATTTATTACATGAAGAAAATGTGTGTATTTTCAGAGACTTTGTAAAGATGAAGTCACTGAAATTTATGAAAACCCTAAGATGTGTACATTCTGTACACATGCCACACTGGCAAAGTTATAGACACACCAACGGCTGGGATACAGTGGAATTGTTTAATAAGACCAGTCAGCAAAAGCAGTTCTGGTCCTCTCTTAATTTATGGGCAGGAAAACTGATAAAAATTAAGTAAGTAGAAGCTGGCATTTTTGAAAATATAATTAATTTAACAAAACTTTCTTTCATAAGTATAAGAAACTAAGTCATTACTTAAATATAAAAAAGAGTATATGTCATCTCATAGAATAATTAAGCCCAGGAAAATCAATAACTAAGTGACATACTAGATTTTTCCTTTAACAAAAAATTTAAGGCTTCTGTAGTGAATTAAACAAATAATGTATTAAGTGTTTTTACTGATTAGTAACTTCAGTTTAATGAATTGAATTCACAGCAGGAACCCACGAAAGCTAGCTAACAGCACACTGATGCACAAAGCCACCCCCATAAAACCTATGCACAATGGAGTTACCTGAAGTTGTAGTTTTATGTTTTATATTTTAAGTAAGTTTTATCAGATTCTTGGGTAGGGCAGAGAGCGCAGGCAAAATATAATTACTAAAGTACTGAGATTTTCAATGAAAATTAGAAATAAAGATTCCTCAAAAGCATAAGATGACATTACTTATTTAACATGGGTATTAAACTGCTGTTTTACACAACAGTGGTTGGTTCACTTTAAAATTTTGTCATCTTAAAACCAGTGTTTAACAATGATAATCAACATAATTGACAACCAACAACACAATGATGACCTCTTATAATTGAAACAAATAAACAAGTTTGTCCAATAATCTATTATTTTAGCCACTAACAATATAATCTATGTAGTAAACCTGATCCGACTTTTTATTAGGCCACTGAGTAGCTGTGTATCCTGAGGCAATATTTAACTTCTTGCCCCTGTTTCTTCACCTGCACAATGGCGAGAATAAAGTACCTTTCTCATTCTGCTGCTGTTTATCAATTAATGCAAGAATGTCCATCAAACATGTCTATCTTACAGGAAGTGTTGAATTTGCAATTCCCACTTTTATCACTATTATCATTACTTAATGAGTAATCACTACTTAACTATTTTAGGCAAAACTAAGTGTCCAGAAAAAGTCTGCTCAGAACTCACCATCTTGAACAACTTCTTCATCAGAATCTCCTTTTGTCTTTGTGTATTCCAGAGTATAAGAAAGACCATTACAGCCCCTGGTTCGTACACCAACTTTTACACCCACCTGTAAAAGGATTGCAAATATAACTGAAGTAGCTATAAAGTAGTTCTTACTAAACAATTATGTTGATATTTTTCATTTCCTCATGGGTACTAGACTTCTGGTTATAAAATGTCCCTTTAAGAAGTGTTAGGTGGGCCCTTCCTGGTGGCGCAGCGGGTTAAAGTACAGCACTAAGAAGCTTAAGCCACTTCCTCATGAGTTCGAT